CATGTTTGTTTTTGCTTCTGATCCTGATTTTGTTTTTGATTTTTACCCAACTTCAGTTGTTTGGCTGTTACATAGCCTTCCTTTTGCTTTTGGAGGACTCTTTGTCTCCCTATATTACACAAGAAGAGTCAGCAACCACTGCAAAAAGCCAAGCGACAATCACTTTATAAAAGACTAAAACCCAGGCAAGAACCAATACCAGCAGACATATACCAGGGAAACAGGTAACACTTGTGGAAGTCACTCTGAGTTAAGCAATAAGAAGAGGGAAAAGAGAAGATCACACCCTGATCACATCTTCTGGGAAACCAATCATAAAGCATAAAAAAGTACCAAAATACATACTCACTTAAGTATTAGGGCCACAGATAAACAGTTAACATGCCCAAGAAGCAAAAACAGATGACCATATCAGCACACGTCCAGAAAAAAAGATAAAATATCTGAGAAAAATGACCTAGAAGTAGACTTGGAATCCATTATGGAAGGAGGGCAGGCCCTGGAAAAGCCTGAGAAAGAATTCAGAAAAATGATTATGAAATGTTTCAAAACACTCTACAATGGAGTTGAGAAAAATAAGGAAGAAGTAAGGAAAGTGCTACAAGAGCAATCAAACAAGATAGATACAGCATTGGAAACAATTCAAAACCTACAGAAAGAGGTCCAAACAATCAATAACAAAATGGCAGAAATAGAAAACATTCTGGAAGGGCAGAGGAATCGAATACATGAGACAGAAGGAGGAATCAGCAAGCTGGAAGACAGGTCTTTCAATACCAATAAGATAGAAGAACAAACACAAAAAAGGATAAAAAATTCTGAAGATGGTATAAGATTCATGCTGGACAACATGAAGAGGAATAACTTAAGAATTATTGGCATTCCTGAGCAAGAAGAATCACACAAGTCCACAGAGGAAATCGTCGAAGAACTACCAGAAGAAAATTTCTCCAACATCCTGAAAAGCGAAAAAAATAAACGTACAAGAAGCTCAACGAACTCCAAGGGCAGACCCCAAAAGAAAATCACCAAGCCATATCATAGTCAAGCTCTCCAAACTCAAAGATAAGGAGACGCTTCTGAAAGCAGCCAGAGAAAACAGAAAGGTCACATA